ATTTTCAGAATTCGTACACTGCAGGTGTAATGATTCAATCAGTTACTGTATTTTTTTGATTAAGCAGCTGGGCACTCATATTTTCACCTTTTTAAACAAGAAGTGGCTGGGTGTTTATTAACTTTTCCCACCTACAGAATGAGTGCTTATTCGAGGTGGGAGCTTATTTAAAGTTGGGTGCATAATCAAATAAATAGAGTAACAATATTATTAAAGGTCAAAGTGAAAGACAACAAGAGAATTAAGAGATTAATCATTATCGTTATTATCTTTAATAATATTATTATCTCATTAGTAAGCCTAATTAGTAATTCATTTAATTGTAAACTATACAAATGTCTGCCACACAAAAAACCTTCCTGCATGCTAAAAACAAGGGGTTAATGGGAATATTATACATATGGAAAAGTGTGATTTATCACCCCCACCCCCTCACCACCACCACCATTACACCCTCTGCAAAACATGTAAAAATTAACTTTGTAAGGGTCACACTGAACATTATTACGTCACCTCCAGAAATACTAACCTAGCTGGAGTTACCAACACTCCACCATCAACTGATTCCTCACCTCCACCTAGGAAAAATGACCAACCTTTCCTAATTGATCCCCATCATTTGAAAATTGACAGGCAGACCCTTCTATCATGGTCCACATGGTCCAGTTTTTGGCAAAACAGTGATTTTGCATTTTGTGAAAATTAGGCTTTAAGTCCTAATGTCGTGGGAAAAAAATATTAGCAGTTGCTTAACCCTTTTAAGGCTCTAAGACTGATCAGCATTGAATTTCTCCTTGTTACAGTATACCTATAAAAAACATAGTACTCACAACAAGAATTAAGAAAGTGATCACAAAAGATGAATAAAGTTTTGTATTTTAGCAACTTCTCCCCATTACCTCTGGAGGGAATGACTATGGGTAACAAAATGAGAATTTGAATTTTGATATCAGGGTGTAAAGAGTTAAAGTCACTTGGGTCACATTTATGGCATACGAGGCGATTGATTAGCCCTGCCTCAACATATCACCAAGGAAAGTGAGAAAACCTATGATTAGATGGGGAAATGAGAAGAGGAAGGAAGGGAACAAGATGTTTTCCTCCCACGAGCTACCCTTAGTTCCCAGTGTTATTTTCACGTTTACTCAGGGCGTTAGGTTTATAAGGTACTTGAGACTAAATTGAAATCTATTTTAATTTTTAAGATTCTGGTTACAAGCACTGTATGGATTCCTTTCTATTCAGCCTTGTGAACCCATCTGGAGCCACACAAACAAAGCTACCACTCAAGGGAACTGCAAACAATTATGGAATCTATTGCAATAGTTCATATGGGCCAACGTTTGGGGGAGGACATGATCTTAAAATCGGCAATGACGGAAATACAAATACTGATAGCTACAGCCAGCTGGACCACACCTATGAATGTCCACCACATGCAGCAAATACAACATTTCTGGTTGGGAACAAGAATTTTACTGTCGATGAGGTGGAAGTGTTTGTCTTTCAAGAGTAGGCAGGTCTATTCGATAAAGTTTAAATGTGCAAGAAAATTGAAAGAACAAAATCCTTGCTCTTCGTCTATTAAATAATTGAGATGGTGATTCCCTGGCTGTTCCGTGTGACAAAGACATAGTAAAATCTGTATCAACTGGGGATTACGAAGCCGCTCAGGTCGACGATTTTTAAAACCTTTAAAACTCTTCAGTTTTTATTATTGATAAGCACATTCAAGCTGAACCACCCTAAAAAAGTATTAGGCCCGACGATTTCATCAAACTCAACTATTACTTGCACTTAAATCAGTACGGAATCTACTGCACTTACTTCAACAACTTATTAATAATTCATAAAGAGAAAAAAAAGAAATCAACGTTTAGTGAGTGTCTTTAAATTCGATAAAGACACGGCTGAACTTAATTTTTTAGACCAAAATAACCCCAAATTTGAATATTAGTGCAAGAATGAGCTGATCTATATCAGGGATTTTGAAGCTGTTCAAAAAACTCACAGTCGAATGTTATCATCTTCGCCTCGAGTTTTTAAAAATGATAATACACTCCTGCTCATTTTTTAAAGAGTATTTAAAACACCGCGACCATGCAATTTTAAGGCCAGAAATTTGAGTTTGAGCTTATTTTCTTGATTCTCCCCGTAGACGACCACCTCTCGTAAGCGACCACTTTGTTGTCTACCATGGTTGGTCGCTTACGAGAGAGTTGACTTCATTTTCTTCACTAAATACATCGATCAAAGGTAACGTTAAGAAAAAGACTGCTTTAGAACGAGTATCATTACAAAATTCACTTGGGCAAGTCTCTTGGTCATGTGGGTAAACAACTTCTCGCAGGTGCCGGATGTCCTGGTACGGTTTTGGTCACTCCTGGTTTTGGATTCTTTGGATTCAGAGCGTCCGTTGCTCGTTCGTCCGCTGGAAAAGGGTGATGCAGGCTCTGGTGACGTGATTTGCGCTTGAAACATGCAACGCACATTGTTTTCAATTAAAATTACAAAATGATTAGACAAATTTCCCTCAAAAATAAGATATACGACTAAAAAATCTATCATTGGAGGAAATGGATAAAACCAAACTAATTCACAACTTTATGCATTATTAATTGTACTGGTATATAGGCGCTTGCAAAGTTTTTAATCGATGTCTATGCAGATGTGAATATATAAGGTCTACAAGGTGCAATGCGGTCTACTCTTACTCAATACGTAGTCACTTTCAGTATGACTTTCTGCTTCCTTCTACAAGCAACAAGTCAGCTTGAAGGAAAATGCAATTCACAGTCTTCTAAACACTGTCCAGTATCGTCGTGCCCGAGATGTCTGCAAATATACTGGCAGCCGCGAAGGCCTTATGTGTTTCAGCTTGAGAACTCCAGCATGGAGGGTGTGCTTCATGGTAGGTAATTATAAATTTTCTTTATAAGGAGGATCGTAAAGATCTCGATTTTAGAATTGCGCTTGTTGATTGGCTTGAACAACTTTATTGACTAAATAGCTTTCGAGACCGCAACGGAAATCAATCATATGCAGCTGAAGGTCTCAGTCATAATTTATTTATTTGTCTTGGCTTGAGTGGTCTGGATTTCTCTCTGACTCACCCAGAGTACCTTTAGGTCCTTGATTAATTTTTAAGTAATACCTAAAAATGTTTAAAAATGGCTACTTCTTAATGGTCACTAGGAAATCGACACCTAAATTAAGTATGTATATACAAAAAGAGACAATTACCATGCAAATTTCCACCAAACAGCTGTGTTCTTTGCAAATCATAGTCACACTTTTTCACATCACATTTCGCCAATTTTCTTGTTTCTTTTATCTTAACACAATACCTTTAAAAATTAAGGTGTTTTGGCTATGCAGAAACCTCTTAACCCGAAAAGGGATGCATTCTTAAATCATTAAATGGCTCTTTGTACACTGACTTATAATATCGGTTCCTCAATTTACCCTATTTTTTTACTTGATTCTCGGTTTCCTGTACTTGGAAACTTTTAGCTTTTTCTTTTTTTTTTTTTTGCACAAAGAAGTCGCTGGTAGTCTTTCTTTAATCAGGTGTTATTTCTGAAACACGGCCGATCTATAGAGAGATAACGAATTTGAAGTAAAAGCGTTCTTCTATGGCTAAAAACGTTAGGTACAAGGTCAAGTGTCAAGGGACGAACAAGGCTTTAGTTTTTAAGTAATAGAAGCATGTTCTCGGCTGGCAGCTTGTTTAAGCCACTGAGCGATGTCACCTCAGAGCAAAACTGTACTGCGTGTTCCTGGGGTGGTATTCTCAAAATAATCATCTTCATTTAAAAAATCGCTTGGTTCAGGCGACGACACCTTACCGCGAGACCTCATGCATCTGCATAAAACAACATCTTGTGTAAAGTGAAAGGCAGTTTATAGTTACTGGCCTGAAACATGTGAGAAAAAAAAGAAAATTAAGGCGTCTGATTTGTTCGCAAGTGTTTAAATCAGCTAGCTCTAGCTACTTCGATTCACATAGTCTCAACTAAAACGTTGAGAAGAATGAAGAAAAAACGTGTATTTTTTTGTTTCTTTGTTTGTTTCGTTTGCTAGCTTTCACTTTTCAAGTGCCAAGTAAAGGTCGATTCGTTCTGTTACCTGTTACCAACTAAGTAATAGACTTTCTAAAAGTCAATTTTTTCCTGGTTGGTTATGTCGCCCCCTCGGTCGCTGTGCGACCTCATGCATTGAAGCTCGCTTTGCTCCGCACTTTTGAGAACTTGTGACAAGTCGACTTTCAGCAAGTCTAACTAAGTAACAATCAATTACTAGTTAGAGAATTATCATATGGACCACTTTTAATCACCACGGATGCCTGAGGAGCCTTTTACCAGGACTGTAACAGACCAGATGCAATGTTGACCCAACGTTTTTGGACATTGTTGGGGATAGTCCATTCAAACAAACCCAGAAGTTTTAACTCATGTTTACCTGATCCAAAAACATTCATTGACTGATTCTATATGATAAATCGAACAGTGGATCTATGGTCAGTTTTAAATATTAAGCACTCTGCCCAAGGGGCGTTTTGTTTTTATAGAATCTCCAGAACAAAGTATGTGCAGCGGAAATCTAAACAGCCCCCGCGCCCCTTCCCCCCCGCCCCCCACTCCCAAAAAAAAAGAGCCTTAATCAGAACGATAGTAGAACCACTTGCTCCTTTCAAGTGAGCTGAAACTAGGCTAGTCGATAGATCTTGTCTCCACTTTGCCACTTTATATCCGATCGTGACAGTGCTTCTAAACAGCTGAGATTTTAACTAGCTTTCGATTTTACAACACACTTGTTTTCCAGTCAGTTAGAAATGCTTCTGTCTGCAGGTCCTGTTTTCTGTTAATACACTTTACAGTTTTTCACTTCAGTCAGAGACACGAGTAATTTAAAGTTCTTTATTATTATACAAAAACCATGAATATGTTTTATCAAGCTCTATCTAAAATTCCCACGTGCGCGAGTAATACAAACTTGGCTTTAAAGTTTAACTTTTAAGTTATTGTCTAGGTTTCTAGGCTAAAGGAAGCCCAGTCCCTATACGGCGTTTTCCAGTCCCTATCGGTCAATTCATTTTCGGTGACGTATCCGAGGCGAACGGGCGGGAAACATTTTCTCTTGGATCGCGTGACCCGAAAAGCTATGAAACATGGATCATACGTCATTCTCCACGGAAGCAAGAAGTCAAGCAACCTTAATTGAAATAGGTGTATAAAACAAACAGGAAAAAAAAAAACATTAAACATTATGCAGATAAGGGTTAAGGTTTCTGTTTGTCTTTTTTACTTTACTTGTTGGTTGTTCGGAGTCTTTGGTTCTATTTTAGTTCATCATGCCGTTTTATATCGGTCCTTTACTTTTGGTGTGTGATATACGTCATTTCCGCCTCTCCCTTTAAAACAATTTTTATTGCGACATTCTCCATCTATATAATATTGTGATTCCCACACAGGTTCAGTATAACATTTGTCAACCTGAAGAAGGCTGGTTATGGCCGGCCGAAATATTGCCGGTTATGAAAAAACAATACATTTTGTTCTGAATCAGCTCTGCAGTAGTCTTTGGACTTCTCGTTTTTGGTAAAAAACCATACCCTTTGGCGCCGCACATACCTATATAGCCTATAAAAGTGAGTACCCTCCCCCCCCCACCCCCCCGGGGGGGCAAAAACGCGTTGCAGATTATGAGTCTCGCTGCTTACGCTACGCAAGCGAGACTAACAAGTATTTAACCAGTATGTGTTTGTATCAATGTGCTCTCTCATGCATTACATGCATGAAGCCACAGTAGAACAATCGCATTGTGCTTTTGTCAGTCGGCATTTTAATAGGGCATTTTTGTGGTTTTCATCATAATCTCAGTGATATTCGATTCAACTTAGTCGAGCTTACAAATGTCACGGTAGCCACCAAATAATTTGTCTTCAGTTGGTCTTCATTCTTTCTTTCCATTTTGTTATTTTGGTCTTCATTCGGGATCGCATGATTCGAATGCCGGTGCCAGCAGTTGTCGGTCTCATGGGACAGAACAGACAAGTAATTTGCAATTACGTCTTCTAGAACGGAAGGCGAACCCTTTGAGTTTACCTCGAAGTGAAGTTGTGTGCCCTTGATCTGTCGTAGAAGATACACTGTCAGTCTTGCGTATTGTGCTATTATAGTGAAGATGCACACATCTAACAGATTTCACCCTGTCTATGGCTGTGTTTTAATCCTGGTTAGCGTGATGTATTTCAATGTTGAAGCGAAATGTCCGGCTGGCCTGAAGAACAAGACGTATCGGCGTGACCTTTCTAGAATCTGCCCTGCCTGCATAGAGGTTTCGTGGTTGATTCGACCGCCTTTTACTTTTCAAAACGGCAATTATACTTCAGGAATACTACCAGGTACTAAGGTTCAATTTTTTTACAAACATCTCACTTTAAAATCTGTATGAATGCGGGACCATGTTTTGCTGCCTTGCGATTGCATCGAACAAAGTGTTACCTACCCAAGGTCGTAACAATTAAGGTGGGAGGGGACCGGGTGTGTTGTTAACTGTTCGCAGAAGTGCTTATATTGCGATGCCTAATTTTCATTTAGTATAGCCATTTTTAAATATGGATAGTACATTGACAGTATCACTATAAAATTGTTTATTTAATATTTGTAAGCGTCAATCTTAGAGCCTGTTTACATGGAGTGGGGGAACCCGGTTTAGTGGGGTAAGTTTCTTTTGTTTTCACGCTCTGGGGGACACAAAACAAAAGAAACTTACCCCACTAGACCGGGGTCCCCCACTCCATGTAAACAGGGTCTTAGACGCAGGGGGCTGCGATCCGTTGCCTCAATTAAGCCTTTGGGCCCGGGGGTTACTTTAGGAATTTCTGGATGGGGATGTGCCGCTGGGACCCTGGAACCCGTAACCTATACCAGCTAGTTCAGCTGAATTTTGCTACCCTATACTAGAGTAAACTCCCCAAATCCCCCCTATCCTAGAGTAGCTGTTTCCCTAGTCTATATAAAATCTTCAACCAACTGATCAGTTTCCTGAAAAATGATACCCTATTCTAGACCCAAACGCTCTGATTTATATACCCCATCCAAGAGTAAACTGCCTGAAAACCATATCCTTCAAGGCGGCACATACCTATATAGCCCATATATGGCAGTACCCCACTCCCCCGGCCTTTGGGTAGGTCGAGATTCTCGTTTACCATGAAAAGCACGTGGTTGTAGAGGTAAGGTTTGAAAATGCCGAGAAATTGGTATTTCCAATGAACTTCGCAGAAATACTGTTGAGTTTGGAGGCGCCGCCCCACCTAATACATTTTACCCAGCTTTCCAACTATGTTCGAGAAAAATTTATCGCGCCTTTAAATTTGGTTACGTGGCTTCTCGTGATATTTCGTTACAGCTCTGCTGGATCTGATGTTAACCAAGTGCTGCGGGAACCACACCCCAAGCTGCTGGCAAGTGACGTATCATCCCCCGGTTAAAAACCCTGAGCAGCTGCTCCGTTTGTCACGTGATTCTCACGTGATCTACCCAGTCATTGTTGATAAGCAAGAAGCGGTCAGTCTGGATCATAACCTGATTAGTCTGATACCTCCTTCCAGTATTGGGTTTGTCGTTCCTAGAGGCAAGAGGGAAAGCTTCCCAAAGAAACTTCTAATGTCTGTGTTCGAAGCATGGCCAGTGTTAATATTAACTATTCTTCTTTCAATTTTGGCTGGTGTCCTTTTGTGGGTACTGGTAAGTGGAATTGGCCACGTGCATGAGCTGGATTTTTGAAAATGTCACCGCCGCCTTTACCTCGCTCTTTCTATTTTTCCTTTCCTTGTTCTTGACTAATGTAATTTTCGGGCTTATCAGACGCCAAAAAAACCCTGCCTTTGGCCTTTTTGACGTAAATGGCTGCAATTTCGCAAGGTACGTTTTCAAAAATCCGGCTAAACGTACCACCGGCAAATTACTTAGGGGATGCGTAATCAAACAACTTAATACGCGCTTTCGAAGCGTTTTAGGGGGCTAATCCACCTACCTAATCAGCTTGGGCTACCGACTGCACAATGCAGTGGTTTTTAAATATTTTGGTAAGTTTAGATTATTACTACACTTTTTTCCAGATTGAGTGTATAGCTACTCCTCGTCCGTGGAATGTGATTATAGATATTGTAGGTCGTAGGGGGAAACGTAACGCGATCCGTCCGCCATTTTGTCTTTCTGCTGCACAGACGAGGGCCTCCATTTTTCAATTGGGCTTTGACACAGGCAGATCAATAATGAAGCAATGATTTCTGTCACTGCCACAGTGACGCAACACCGCAAATTTCTTCTTGAAAATGAAAAAGTTATGGGGAGGGTGGCGAATGTTTGAGCCGCATGAATTTTTTTTCGTTAACATTTCCCTGGTATGAATTTTTTTAAGTCAGACCATGATTATTCTTAGGGGTACTACTTGGCGTGAATGAATTTTTTCATTTCATTTTTCCTTGCACGAATGTTTTTTTGGTACTTCGCCTCTCCCCCTCCTCCCCATACATTTTCTAATGGTCCTTCCCTAAAGAAAATACTGGTTACATGTCGTTTCAAATCGACAGAAGGTCTTTTATTCTTGGAAACGTAAAATAGCCGCCAAAAGACGTCACATGACAACTATAAATTCACTTATTTTTCAAAGATTTATTGTACAGAGGCTGTGCTTACACTTAAAACATGCTATTGCCAGTAGGAATTGAGAAAACAGCGTTATGTAACGAAATTTTTGGGTTTGTGTTTCAGGATACTTGGTTTAACGAGGAACAATTCCCTCGCAACTTTTTCAGAGGCTCGTGGGAAGGATTCTGGTGGGCATTTGTTTCCATGACAACTGTGGGGTAATGTATTATAGTAAGGGTGATCCATCTCCATAACTACAGTAGAGTTGCAGTAGAATCCCGATTTCTCGAGCCATCGGTTTCCTCGAAATTCTTAATATTTCGAACCAAACCCAACTTTCCTTTACGCGTTAAACACTTTAATTTTTATTCCCTATTTTTTTCAAACCTCCTGATAATAGACCTTTCCCACATTCCTGTAAACAAAGGCACCGACCCGAGGTTGGGGTGGACAAAATACAGTGATTTGTATGAAATTTTCCACCCGAGCCTTGTCCTCATTTCTTTATGTTTTCTCACTGGAGCGTAATGTGGGAAAGGTCTATTGCCCACATTCGATATAGTAAAATTCTAACATAACTCCGAGGCTTTAGGGTCAAAATTGCAAATTTCTCACAACTCCATTGTCTCACAATTCCCATCAGAGACTTGAGCACAAAGAAAACCCAACCAAATACAGAAAAATGACCACAAAGCCTCCAGTCATGTTAAAATTTTAATATGTAGAACGTGGACTATTCGAATCAGTTTGCTTTTCTCAAGGTTGTTCGAAAAATCGGGATTCTAATGTATATTCATATTTGGATTAGTTCCACGTTGTTTTCACAGGGATAAGAGGTACTCTTGGTGATGGCCTGTAGTAAAATCTGCCTTTAAACTTTCTCGTTTGACACCGGTAAAATTCTTTTCTCATTTTGAGTTTAAGCAGGACAGAAAAAATGCGGCAGAACAAACAAACAAAAAGAGACAACTTCGCAAGAAAGGGAACCTAGATGTCCCCCTATTTTCCGGCTTAGTCCGCCTTAGCGATTACGTATTACCATCGATGTTGCCTTCGATTTCAAGTTTCACTCTTATTCCTGTTTTTTCCTTGTGTGAAAACATAGGTACGGTGATCGAGCGCCCATTTCTCTGTTGGGAAGAACTTTTGCGGTGTGCTGGATTCTAATTGGAATCTGCATTTGCTCAATATTCACCGCTACTTTGACTACGTCACTTACAACTATCAGCCTCGACACCAAGAAGAGTCTACCAGGTTCCAAGGTGAGGATCTCCCATTTTTGTCTGTTTGATTCACAAAAGGTTCGCTCCTTTATAATTTAACATCTAATTTGTTTTGTTTTTAATTATTCTATTTTTTAAGAAATTTACTTTACTGGTCAAGGAAATTTTCTATTATAATTCTCTTTGTCCCTGGGGAAAGCCTTTCGCTAATAAAAATTAAACCCGCGTACACGGACACCCGTTAATGCGGACATCGGACACTTGTGCTTCGCGCAATCAACAGATTCTCATAGAAAGTCAACGTCGTTTATTTATGGGGACAATTCACTGTCAACTGTGTTTGTAATAAGCCTTTCCTCCTCGAAGTAATAAAAACCTGTAGTAGCCAGCATGTCGTTGTTCCCAACGCTACATTACACTGGAAGTGTGTTTTTTACTCAAAGAGCACGACCTGCTCAATTCAGACACCCTGTTAATACTGACACTTTCTATGACCCCCTCAATGTCCGTATTAAGGAGGTTTTTCTGTATTGAAGTAACATGAAATGTTTATTTATACGTGCTTCTTATTCTGTTTAGGTTGGAGTTATAAAGCGTTCCATAGAAATGGCATTAGCTATGCAGCAACAAGCTGATATTGAACGTAAGCAACGTTTTGTTCTATTCGAGGTTTATGGGGCTTTGAACTCAAGGATTAAGTTTACAATCTCATTATAGCATATGTGCCTGCTATGCTGACTTTGAAAACTTGTTATCTTGTGTGTGATGTAAGGAGAAAAAATCAGACCGCACCCTTTGCTCATCCTCTACAGGCTCCATTACCAGCCGCTGTTACTAATAAGGGAAGATCCCTGTTGGGTTAGCCTATCAGAATGCGGCAAAGTATAATCTGTGACGTCCGAGGGAATATAACTAACCTTTATTCCCCCGAGTTTTCCATGCGTTTGCTTTGCTTTGGTTGTTTTTTTTGTCAAAGCCTTTGTGTGCACTATCTTCTAGTTGGTTTAATGTATTAGTTGGGTTCAGGAGTTGGGGCACTCGAAAATCTTTCGAGTTTTACGATTCTGCTTAACCCTGCATGGACATCAGCATGTCTAAACGGTCAAGTGTGTCAACATTCGCTCAAGACTTGTATGCTAAATAACGCCTTAGATTTGATTGTGTCAATTTGACCCATGTTAGGTTGCTTTAATTTATCCGTGTCACAATGTAGACCAAAATGATATTATTTTTGTTATTGTAGTCTACAACTCTGTTGAGGAAATGAGTTTTGCCTTGGACAATGGAGTTATTGAAGGTACTTTCTTACTCAGCTCCAGTTAGCTGATTTGAGCTATTTATCCTCTCTTACTTAGCCCTTTGAAAGAGGATCGCAGCGGCCATCATTACAAATGGTGATGCTACTGACGTAATAAACAGCGTTAGACATTTTTAAGTTACCCGAGGGACAGAGGGGTCAGTGTTGAGGATCATACTTCACGATTGGTCTGTTTTGAGGACTTTTTCGCTTCTTTTATTGGCTCATACGAGGCTGTACAGAAATTTGGGTCAGAATTCGTCCCCTAGAACAGACCAGAACTTGGTCAAGAGCTTAAATATCACTTATCAACAGCTCGCCTCATGGCAAGCCATCCAAGTGTTCATTCCGATCAGAAAGCTTTGAGTGCATTACTACTTTAAATTAACCTGAATAACTGGACTAGAAGACTCTAAAGATGTTTGAATTAACCAGGGAAAGCTTCGCCCAAACGCACTCAGAGCTTTATGTTCGGAGTTAACGCTTAGATGGCTTGCTCTTTAACGAGCTGTTGTTAAGTGGTATCCAAGCAGGTGACTAAATTCTGCAAAGAGATAATTCAACATAATACGCCATAATCTACGCCAGTCTCACCGGCAGCCTCGACATGGACAATACCTATCTTAGGATAGCTGTAGCAGAGAGGTTGAAACTTTAGCTTTTGGTAGTTGATGTTAAGCATAATACGTAGCCTTAAAATTACCCAAACGATTATTCCGCAGTTGCCGTGAATGGAAAATCGGTTCCAGTTTACTGCCGACCCAGCATACGAAGAGTCTCTTTACTATATTTCTTAACCTTAATTTTAACTTAGTTGTTTGTTGCTACCTTCCAATAGCTAGCGAGTTAGTAACTCGAGGCAGGTAGTGATGACGAAATACTTGATGAAAACGTCCCAAAAAAACATTTCCAGATTAAAAGTTTTGCCCTAATTTTGAAATGTCGGAAAAGGCCTGTTTTGTCTACTTGCCATCTTATGCTATTTTTGTATTACAGGCGTACTCTTGGACAATTATCAAATAAGTCACTACACAGAGACACTATTCCCAGACAGTAAATTCAAAACAGATGAAATCATTAAAGTTGAGTCGCTGTCATATGGCGCGGTTGTGAACGATACATATTTGAGAAAGTGTTTCAGACGTTTAATCGCTGAAGACAAATACCTGCTTTACGACTTTACAAGAAACGAACTTACAAAAACACTTAAGGTAACTATAACCAAACTGAGGGGTTTTTTTGGTCCGTTGACATATCTCAGTTTGGTTTTATTCCAGATCAATGTTGTAGGTATATTCTTTCTTGCAGGGTGTATGACCGAGTGGTCAGCGTATCGGGCTCGTAATCCAGACGTCCTGGGTTCGAGTCCAGCCCTTACGTACCATCAAACTAGCATCTGGATTATTTGTTTCCCGGTGATCCCGAGTTACCCCCCCAACCATGGTTGTAAATAAACAACTGGCGCATCCTGCGAGCTGAAATTTTTTCTTGTCATGTTTTGTTCCTTTTGGTTCATTTCTTAGTTCCCGCAGAAAAGATTAGCGCACTTCATTCATGTACAAAGCATTGACCACTTAACATTTCAATTGATAAATTGTCGAATTAGATCATTTGTTTTGCTTGACAGTGATGAGGATTTCCCCCTCCCCGTTTTTTTGGCCTAGCACTAATTGCTACATCTGATCACCCTAAGCTGGAAGAGGAGACTGTTTTTCTTCGCCATATCCAGATTACGAACAGTAGTATCGGTTATTTTCTTTTTTTAAGTTTCTTGTATTCACAGAACTAGTGTATAGAAATAATTTTATTTACAAATATGCTAAGTAAAAAATATTTAACATACTTTTAGCTTCTAATAGGAAAGAGTCGATTGTGTCCCATTAGATTCAGTGGTAGGTTAAAGTTGGAAGATTCAAAAAATGGTGAATTTTCATAAAACTTACTGTTCGAATTTTTTAGTTCTTAAACAATCCCTCACCCTTATTCAAAAGTACATATTAAAGGGTGTAAACGTCGTATGATAGACGAGTTTTTATCTTTATTGTTTAGGGAGGAGGAGATGATGAAGCCGTGCAGAATTCTCAGAGTATTTTCGATCCCACTGGTGATCTGTTTTATCCTTCTTTATACACCTGCATCGCTCTTGTGGTTATCATTTTCCTGGTGGGTGTGGTAACCGAGCTGTTTTGCTTCAGAACTGGCCGATGCAAACTTTCAAAGAAAGGCAAGGCTATCAATCAAATATAAATAACTATGCACCTACCTAATCTGCGATTAATAATTGTCTAAATATTAGAATACGTTCTCTTGAAAATGAAACAAGCAGAATCGAATCGATCACAATGCACTGACCACAAAACATTATTAATCAGCCATGTAAAGAACTAAGCACAACGCTACATAGTCTGCTTTGCAGGTGCCGCTCGGGCCAGAGCCACACAGGAGGGAGCTTTAGCATCGACGACGGCAACGGCAGCGAAAACGTCAGTTTTAAAATGAATTCCCGTTTTTTTCAATCTTTGTCGCGTTTATTCTAATTTGCTGAAAATGGTAAGTGTAGGCGAATTTCCCTGGAGTTGATTTCTTGAGGACCGCACTCAAGTTTAGAGAGAGAAAAAGAGATTCGTCGTCGCTTGTTTACGTCCGCCATAAAATTTGCAATTAGGCATTTTCACGTCGTAGTCGTGCAAGGACGGTAAAGAAATGTACAAAAAAGCATGATTGTTTTGCTAATATAAACCTATTGCTTTTTTGACGTCCTCGTTGCCGTCGTCGTCGTCGTTGCTAAAGCTCCCTAGTGTTACCCGCGAGGGAGTCTGGACTCAACGCAATTACATGTAACAGATGTATGCGCGGGAAACCCGCACAAAGCAAGTTTCACGTAACCTCTCAGTAACTGGCTGAAAAAATTCGTGCGAATGTTATTAGCCGATCATGATGTACCGCAACGCAATACCATTTATATCAAGTCACGTAATTCAAAACCGCTCCGGTCTCTTGTCTTAAACACGATCATCAGAGTTTGAAGGCCTTGGCGGCTCAGCTACACCCAAACTGCCCTCAAGTGTCCCCCGAGTCGCAGACGTTCCTCCGCGCGAAACGTCCCCAGCGACGAAGAGCGAGGAGAAACGACTGTTTTCGCAGGCTATCCGGGTGTAGGATAAACCAGTTTTTGAGATTAGGCGCTGATAAAATGAATTTTTTCTCCTTTTAAGGAGGAAATCCTTCCGATGCCATACCCTTTTCAAAAGTGAAGGGAGATACTGCACTGGATCAGTTAGAGCAGGAAATGCTGGGCGAAGTACAAGCTTTGTTCAACAAGTACCGCGACAGACTGGAAGAAGTTAAAAATCAGGAGAATAATGGAAATGCCATGAGTATGCATTCTACAGTTTAAACTGTACCCGTTACCAAGAGACGGAACACATTTCAAATGCTTGCTCCCGCAGTAGTCACTTCATCGCCATATAAACTGGTGATGAACCTACCGATTTTCTTCGTAAAATTACGGGCATCCTCGATGTGAGCCTTCTTTGGAAATGCATGTTCGGTTAATCTTCGCAAGCTCTCAAATGATATGTAACATTCACGGCCCTATTGCATTTTGCTTCATGCCATTCTGTTTGAAGTTCTTCGTCGTGAAGATGTCCCTGATTTTGGAAAAACTGGTCATAGAATACTGCCTCAAAAAGCGAACAGTTTTTTCATTCTTTTAAAATGCGCTTTCTTATTGACGTGTTTGTTCCAGAAATACCTTTAATTTTGAATGGTAGTTCTGAAACCGGCCCGATTAAATATTGATATTACATGTAAAACGTTCCTGGTGAGTGGGAAACAACATCTTTGCGTACCATTGCACGTCAATATTCAACTTAAGAATCCCAGTAAAGGCGTGGAGGCCTAACGTTTTTAAAATAGCTCCAACTCAAATCTGCAGATAAGGGTTCAAGCGTTGCTCCACTTTGTGTTTATCCTCACCCAGGTATGTAAAAGGGTACCGGCGACATACTGCTAGCGATAACCCGGCCTAGAACAAGATCCTCACAATTAACGTCAGAGTGACTAATTTGCCCCGTTTGTCTGACTTTGTCTTTTTTGTCCTTTTAATGAGAAAAGTCAGACAAACATAACATTTTAAAGACAGAAGACAGACCAACAAAAGTTAGGAATTGATCGTCTGAGTTTCAGTTCTGTAAATAGTAACTGTGCGCTTTTCTACTCCGTCATACGGTAGGTATTTTTTCTCAATCGTGTGATCTCGATGGTTTCTATCGGCTAATCGGTTATCCCAATCCCGGACAACCGTTTAAATAGTGTCTTCAGTCTAAGAAATTTAACTTCCCCTTTTGCTCTGTGAGAAGTGTCTACGTTTATTTCATAGAAGGCCAGGCGCTATATGCCGATAACATAACTTTCCATGAAGGGGTACGTAAATCATGAGGTTTAATTAACGCTTGCGTCTTTCTCTGGGGAGAGGGGACGGGACTCCCTTTCATGGTCCATACCACTAGATCACGTCTTTCCTTACTGAAAGATCAAAGCAATGTCAAGAGGTCAATTCCATAACCCCCAAGAGCTTAGGGATGCTGGAGGAACACTCCCTTAATGGGAATAAAAGGGTATGTGCTACTAAACAGGGTATGGCTTTCGAGGTCCTTAAACAATTCAGGGTATTGAATTTCACTATTTAGCCTCTTGAATAGGGTGTCTTTTTGAACCGAATGCTTTGAACGGGTATGAACCAAGGTGGTACGCGTCAGTGTACATGTGGGGTGTGTTAAATCTTACCACTGAAAAAAAAATGATTGAATCCAAATTAAAGGAATAATCTCGTTCTCAAAACAAAGGTCTCACCGGTTGTAGGACGGGTAATGAAATGAATGGATTTTGTCTTAAACAGGATTAGGGTTTAAAAGGCCTCGACGGTCAGTATACCCACACCCCAAACTTCTCTGAGATGATTTCCTCCCTTCCCCCCCCCTCCCCCACCAGTCCCCGCCTTCCGCCCCTCTCCGGGTCCAGAGAAAGGCTCCAAATCTAATTATGCCTTATTTCTCGTAGCAAGATTCTCAGACGTCCGAGGTCGTTCCCGGCCCCTACGCTTTCCCTTCCCAGTCTACTCGCGCCATTTTTCGCGCGGTCTATGACTCTCGCTCATCGTTCTTTTCTCCGAAACAGCACGAAAACTAGCCTGTGTACAGATGTCCGCCCTCCCTCAGGAAAAATCGGGAGAGGAGACGTCTGTGAATCGCCGACGCCGTTTCCCCGGAATGTTGCGGACAGCTTCTGATTGGTTGTAATAATAATGCCGTTACGCAAATAATTTCCGGTGTTGTGATTGGTGAATGACCCTCAGAATAGATTCGCCGGGGAAAAGCTCAGTGTTTGTGGACATTCATATTTGTTTACCGGTATTCGTATTTCGGCTCTCTCGAAAAGGCATGAGAAGTTAAGACCATCGATGTTTTCAGTACCGGTTGCGGATGCGTCTGTCTGTATCGGTCGGCATTGTACATAAACAAAAGAGAAGGCATACAAATCCAAAGTTAACAGCCAAGGCAGGTCAAGCTTACCCCAAAAAGATTCTATTACTGAATTGATTATTTGAAAAAATGAATGCGTTAGTCGTTCCCAGGCATGCGCATTCCTGTATGCGTAATGAGCAACTTTAAGAGAACTTCTCTGATATTGGTCAGATTGAAAATCTTTGAATGGATTAATTGTCTTCAGGTTGATATTTACATCAAATTCAGGGAAAGTGAGCTGGTGGAAGTTTCGTAACTGAATCGGGTGTAAATTCACGGCTCATTACGCAGGCAAGAATGCACACAGAGATGAATCTGAAATCTACAACCACCAAAGGTTCAACTTTCGAATAATAAATCGGATCTTAGGAGGTACGCTTGACCTGGCTTGACTGTAATCAGAGATCTTATATCTGGATTTTTGGGTGGACATTGCGTGAAGATGTTCGGCTAGGCTGTACACAGACGCCAGAGCTATGTTTCGACCTACATGTGCCTTTTCAACTGTCAGCGAAAGAACGAAAAAACAATAATTTATGCAAATGTATACCGGAACAAGATTAACGACGGCGATTCACAGACGTCTGCTCTCCCGATTTTTCATGAGGGAGGGGGGACGTCTGTACACAGGCTACACGGAAACACTTGCTACGCGGGCTATCTCGTCCTCAGAGCCACTCGGCGTACTTTGTAGCAGACCACGAGACCAAAAAACGGGGATGAACTATGCGAAGGTCAACCTCGTCCAGAGCCGATTAGCCCACCCCAGCACTGTTCCAAGGTACTAGCCCTGGGGACGAGATGCTACTGTTCCTTTGACCCATGATTCCAAGCGTTCCAAGTCTAGCAAAAAATGCAAGATGGCCGCGCGAGATTCAGATGATTCTGTCGACTTTACAGACGAAGGAGAGCTTGCCGAGGTCAACAGCCTCGTCAAGAAAATTTTTGACATTTTGAACAGGGAGACTTCCCGAGTTCGTAAGGAAAAAGAAGCTTTTGATGATGTAGCAAAGAAACTCGAGCACGTCCATTTTTCTAAGACGTTAAAGCTGAACATTGGCGGCCAACTGTTTACAACGAGTCTAGAAACAATGAAGAAAGATCCTGGGTCAATGCTACATGCGATGTTTTCCGGTAGATTTGATTCAAAGCCCGCTGAAGACGGTTCCTACTTCATTGACCGTGATGGAACTCACTTCCGGTATATCCTGAACTACCTTCGAACAGGGCAGCTTGTTGTTCCGGAAGACAAGATCGTTCGTAAAGAGTTGTTAACTGAAGCTGAGTTTTACCAAGTCCAAGGAATCATTGATGAGCTCAAAGCCAGCCCCTTTGAAGATTCCATTATTTTGTCCACAGAGCACTGCCAAACCTTGACCAATTGGTTGAAACACACGCTGACAAGTGCTGGCCACACCTACTCCCTGATATATCGCGCCTCTCGTAATGGCTGGGCAGCCTCCAACTTTCACTCTTTTTGCGATCGCAAGGGACCAACTGTGGTGGTTGTCAAAAGTGGGAATTATATCTTTGGAGGCTACACAGAGCAACACTGGGAATGTAAGTGGCATAGCAGAACTCATAGCTCTTTAAAATTAAAGCGACAGGGTTAAAATTTGTGACTGATTGGTTTGATATAGCAGGGCAGTCAGTAAGATAATTCAAATTGCTGGGTGTATGCATTTAGCAAGTGTCCTACCATCCCAATGTTGTCTAGTCTGAAATGTCACACATCTCCACCCCCTGAACCCGTGGGGGCACAGGGGAGAGAGATGTCTGGATTCTGAGCATTATAGAGTTGCCTGGTGGCATCACCTACTTTTGCAAATATGGCAGGTATTTTTTTGGATTGGCTATTGCATGTAAGTTTTTGAAAAACCAACCCTTTTATTATTGGCTCAACGGGCTGAGGAAAACATCCAGTTTGAAATAGTGTTGACAGGCTAATGGCCTCTTCACTAAGTAAAGACTCAACCATAGTGGCATCTGATGACGAACGCTTTAATTCCAAAACTGCAGTCTCGCTTTAGGCACTTGTAACAAAAAATGCACTACCAGTACAGTCAAATAAACTATTAAGCTAAGACAAAATTAATTGACAGCAGAGGAACTGTAGGACATCGCACTCCAGTCCAAAGACTCGCTTCTCTCAAGAAAAACAAAATGGACTGTATCAGTGCCTAAGAAATGATATTGACTGGCTCTCAGCACAATTCTCCTTAGTTCGTGTTGCTTCGGTTTAAGCTACAATTCAGATCTGACGTTCACTTACCATGAGAATTCAACATCCTGCAAACTACACTTTAAAAGAGCTCGGTCTAACATCAAAACAAAGCAGGAAATCATCACATTGACAGACAATAAAAACTGCACACATGCAGCTTTTCAGGTACTTCAGAGAAAACCAAATTAATTAAAATCTTTTTTGAAAGGTCATTTGGCATAAGCTAGGTTTCAACAGAGGTCATAGAAAATCAGTACTAAACTATATATCTCAGATCAAATCCTGCCAGAAACAAACCACAGGAAATAATTACTCTATATGTATGAATCAGACCAGCTTTATGACCTCTAAATGCTAGACTCAGGGCAGCAAGATTTGCTCGATTTGAGCAGGCAATGATCTGATTGGTGGTATAAATTGACACTAGCAAACTCAGGTGTCCAGCCCTCTTTTCAGGGGAGGGGCATGGGCTCATTTTCTGAACAGTGGCTGGTGTTTATTGAGCCCACTATGACAATCTTTTGATGAAAATAACAGAAAGAACCTTGAAATAAGAAAACCTTGGTATAACAAATGGTCTTCTTTTTTTGTTTTATATTTTTATTTATAATTTTATTCATTTATTTTTTTATATTAAGAGTAAACTATATACTACTTATTAACCAAGAGCAAGAAGGTCATTACAGGAAAATCTCAGACCAAGGCCTTTGATGTATTCACTGAGCAATAGCGAAGTCAATACATCAAGGCTGAGGTCTGATATTTTTCTGTAATGACCGAACGGACGAGGTTAATAAGTTATCTATTATAATATTATGGCCTTTTCATTATGGACCTGCGCCTGTCATCAATTAAAACCAAAAACTGGTCAGTGGATAGCTTTAAAACACATCACCTCAATGAGTTGTTGCACTGTAGCCCACGATACAGTCAGCTGTGACACTGGTCAGCCGATACCCCTTTTTGACAGCAGTCAATTGGCCATAACATGGATGACCATAAGAATGTCCACTATTAAGTTATGCCTTGGACACCTAGAATAGCTAGTAATGCCCATTCATTACAAGAAAACTGCCAATAAGAGCATACATACTATTAATAAAGAAGATCCTCAATATAATAAAACCTTGTTATGCCCAGCCAGTGAGGATCAGTAATTTATTGATTTTTGCTGGGGATTAAGCTTTTTTTCTTATTATTAGGGTCTCAACAGTAGCAAGGTGTGCACAAGGTGATAGGTCAACTCTAGTAAAATTTAATCTCTATAATTATATATCTATTACAGAGAGTTCTCTTAGTCTACAAGATTGAAAGCTTCTTACTATTCCTACCATAGTGACCATAATACTCTTTTATTATGTGGACACTTGGCCCTCTCACTTTGGAATCTTGATTATGGGGGATTTTGCTTTACTCCAAACTGCCCTTACCAAATCCAACACTGTTTTGAATGTATTTTTAAGCTATTTTTGAAAACTGTTTTTAACCTGTTTTGTGAAATAGGTTTTAAATAGGGTAAAAAGTGTATTTTTAATGTATTTTTCGACTGCTTTTAAAGGTGTTTTAACCTGTTTAAAACGCTATTAAAAAAGAATTTTTAAAGTATTTTAAAATGCTTTTAAAATATATAAAAATTCCAGGGCTTTTGCAAGGCTCAAAACAGGTCAAAAACAGTTTTAAATACCTTATAAATCGGAATAAAAACAGGATAAAAACAGTTTCAAAAACATATTTTAATTTACTATACTATTTTAAAACTATTTTTAATGGCAATTTTAAACGTATTTTGAAAAAAAAACAGGTTTAAAATAGGTACAAAAATATATTTTTGATATATTTTTCGACTGATTTTTAAAGGTGTTTTAACCTGTTTAAAAACGCTATTAAAATGTTATGCTTCAAAATATATTTTAATAGCTGTTTAATCGGTTTCGAAATTTAGTAAAATACTCGTATTTGCAAATACAATAAAAAATACTTTGAAAACAGTATTAAAATACCACAGAAGAAGAAAAGCAATAGCACACATATATTATGAATTAAATACATCAAAAATAGGATGCAAAATGCAAAAACAGTATAAAATTGTAAGAACATAGCCTTAGAGTTGTCTGAAAACAGTATAAAATCGGTCGAAAGAGCATAAAAATAGTACAAAAACAGGATGGAAATACCATTTAAATTCATGAAATAAAATGAATACAAAACCGTCGAAAATTACCCTGAAAAAGCAAGATTTACCTCGGCGAAATTTCTCCACACAGTCCTAGGCTAGGACTTCAAGAGAATTATCTCTTAGCCGATTACTTTACGTTGATTTCCCTAAGAATTCTCGGGAAATTCTTATGGAATTTTTCAGAAATGCTCAAATCAATCTTTAGCCTGTGTACAGACCCCTTCCCTCAATAAAACTCGGAGGGGAGGGGTGGGGGTATGTACACAGGCTATCAACCTTTGGCTTCAAAAGGGTATAACGTTACTGTCGACGTTACCGGTAAATATCAGTAAATATTAATCTACATGCATGTAACTTACATTGTTTATTATATTCACGGCTTTACTCAAATATCATCAGAAGCTTAATGCAGGCTACGCCTGATCATTAATTAGTGGCTGAAAAAGAACAGCATACGAATAAATTTACGCGAGAATGAAAGAGGCCGGTGACGTGACATCAAGTGACTGAGATCATTTATACAAAACAGCGAGTCTCTGCAAGGAATCCTGTAAAAAGTAAAATTGCCGTACGGGCGCGACTATATAAATGTTTACTACCCTTCATTTGTTTCTCATATGGCGTATATCTAAGTGTCTTAGTAACATTGTATATTTAATACTTACAATTAGACTGTTGGACTCTTCTCCTGAACCAGAACCTTTCAAAGTACATAACAGTCGCTGAGGAGTCATAACCATTTTTGATTCGTGATAAAAGCAACATCTACGTGTTCCGACAATCCGCAGAGTTGGAGTGTACTTTTGTAAGATCGTAACAAACAGTAAAATCAAGCGCATTTAAGCTCACAGCAACCGCCCGGGAGCAACCGCCGGTTCAATAATTTGAAATGAGCAAAGGACAAAGGACGGTTTGCTTATCACGTGCATTTGTCACATCACCGCGGCGCGAAGTCGTGATTTCAGTCGCGCGTGACATCTCAAAAATAATATGCCATGCATGTGCGAAATAGTCTATGAGAGAAAGATAACCATATGTCGGAGTTTATTCAGATCTGAGCGTTGTTTCTTAGTGCAATATATACGAGGTGAGATCTTAGCTTGGATAGTTTGTTTTAATTATTATGAAATTTCAAGGACTTATTTTAGACAAATCTCAATTGACCGCGCGCATCCGGTTCTCGGCCCGCGGCTTCGGCTGTTTGCGAAAAATTTCTACATGAAAATTAAAATGTGATTTTAAGAATTTTCTTTTAAAAAACTTATGGAATGTCCCGTAGCTGCATTAATTGAATCACGGCTAAAATCTAGGCGGAGATTTTCGCAGAGAGCTTGCAGGTAATGAACACTGAGGAACGGATTGATCCTTTATCGGCACACTGTCACAGTTACGTGT